TTTTTGGGGGTCACACCCAACAATGCTTGGGACTGATTCCTTTCTCTGCACTCAGGACTCACTCCTGGTGGTGCTTGGGGGAACATATGGAATGCCAGGACTTGAAACTAAGTTGGCTATGTGTAAGGTAAATATACTACCCACTGTGATATGGCTCGCGCCCCAAATTTCAACATTTGGAATGGACATGGGAGAGTCAAATTTTTCTGTTTCTATTGTAATCTGGTTAATTGTTTCGCATTGTTATAATCAATAATTTGGAATTCCTTTCCCTGGGGTCCGTCACTGTCACTGTCAGTGTCACTGTCCTCCTCTTGTTCATAGATTTGCTCGAGCGGGCCCAGTAACATCTACATCGTGACAATTGTTACTGTGTTTGGCATATCCAGTACTTCACTGGAAGCTTGTAAGGTTTTGCTGTGTGGGCAAGATACTCTCGGTAGCTTGCCGGGCTCTCCGAGAGGAGCAGAGTAATGGAACTCACATTGGCCATGGCCGCTTGCAAGGCAAACGCCCTACCCGCTGTGCTATAAGTTCATGGTGACACATATGTTCAAGGAGTTTTGCACAGAATAACATAAATCCACCTTTTACTGAAATTGAATTTATACTCTCAAACTATATCCCAAAGTGTCAATTGAGATCATGCAAGTTGAACTTCATTTTATTATATTTAAAGAAAGAGAAGGATTATACATGGATCAATGAGGCTTAAATTCAGTTACAGCCATATATCACACTGGAGCAAATTGTCTCTCTAGAGGTCAGTGCAGGGGTTGCTTTTTGCCAGAGCAGACCCTTGGTTGTGAATCCCAGGGTCTACTAGGAATTCAACCCAAAGTCAGTCTCTTAGGGTGTTGGAATCTAGCTCTAAACATTTTATATATATAGCTCTAAACATGTTTAGCTAAAGACAAACATTCGTTTGTCTTTTCTCCCTTTCCACAGGGAGCTTAGGTTTATTGGGTTACACCCATCACAATGCCCCCTAATCACTTCCATTTTTTTGCTTATCTATAACTTCTCTGTGCTCTCTTCCCCAACTGCTCTCTTCCCCCTAATCAGACTCTGTTAACTTGTAAGGTCAGATGCTTCTAAGGACACTGAACTTGTATTGCAAGTTAAATATTGCTTTTCTCCTCTCCTTCTGTCTTTTGCATAGTTTTTTTTAAAGCAATGTCCTTTTTGTGTAGACACAGGGAGACAGTTAATATTATGCTTTTATAACTTGAGAATTAATTGACTGTGAGTAATATTCATTCCCAACCATCTGCTTTCTCAACTTAAGACTCAGTTGCCCTTAGTTCCTAGCACCCCAAAGGCAGAGTCCTGATGAGGGGTTGAATGGACCCAGGGCAAGCTCTGAGTTATGCTGGCATTGAAATGTGCCAGGACAAAGCACCACAATACTTAACTCTAAGTTGAGAGCATGGTCATGGAAAAATGCTATCATGATTCAAAAAGTAACTACGAGATTAGGACCCTGCTAGGGTTAGGAAAGACTAATCTTGCCTGAGCACTGTAGTTTGAGATCTATAATGAGATGGCCCAGGGGACCAAGCTTAATGTATATCTTACTGTGTCCATAAAATAGACTATTATTATGCATTCATGTTTGTTGGACTAAGGAAAAGAGAAACACATTCATAACTGGAATTTCAGTCTTGGGAGAGTCCTCTTGCTGGATGAGAATCTGTCCTAGAGAAGCTTTCCCTGAGGGAAGGACATTACCTCTGTTGACTGTGACCACACCTATGTTAAGCCCCAACCCCTCATGCTTTGGGATTTAACTAGTCTGTAAGAGTGGGCTGGGGGATGCACAAGGAGAATGAACTAGAATGGGGAGGCAGTCGTCTCCAAATCTCATTATGTGTCCAGCACTCCTGATTTTCCACGCCTTGGCAAAAGAGACAGCATCTTTGATTCTTGACCATTGATGGAGGTTAGAACTCCAGATTCTTTCTCTCATTTGAGTGAAGTGTGATACTCCAAGCATAGCTCTTTCTATTCCTCTTTGGGAGACCCAAATAGTGTACTCATCCCGTTTTCGTAGGGCCCATGTCTGTGAGGCGTATGTTAATGCAGGAAGAACTGCGGATTCAAAGAGATGTGCCCAGAGCCAGAGGTTCTTCATCCTCTTAGCTATTTCTTCGACACTCTTGAAGGTATTCCAAGCCACTCTCTTCCTCCTGTGCAACTCAGGTGCCAGGTCATTCGTCATGTTGACTTCTCGATCTAGGTACACATAACTGTTGCATTTGGAGATGTTCCTTTCATTGAGAGCAAATGGAATGTTAGGAATGAGACTGTTTCTCATAAACATTGTCTCGTGAGGTTCAGCTGTAGTATGACCTTTCCACACTCCCGGTTGAAGTCGGCCAGCATTTGTGATGCTTGGCTAATATTTGGTGTTATTAGAACGATGTCATCAGCAATGAGGAGGTAGTGTAGTTGCCGATCTTCATTCCCATTCCTTCACATTTATGTCCTCACAAGACGTTCTCGAGGGTGGCACTGAAGAGTTTCAGTGAAATCGTACCACCCTGTGGAACCCCTCTCTTGACATGGATGATCACTTCTTTGCAGAATGGTGAGATCCTGGTAGTGAATCTGTACTAAAGTTCATGAGGATCCTGATGTATTGAGTTTGAACCCCTGTTTGACTAGGGCTTTAATGCTAGCCAAACATGCTGTCATACACAACACAAAGCCAAACTGTAAGCGCAAAGCAAGAAAAGAATTTCTCTTTATAATAAAATGCTCAGCAATCTGAAAAGTACCCATTAACAGGGTACCAGGAATTCAGGAGGGATGTGTGTCACCAGGAGCTGAGTGCTAGTTTCTTTCATCCTCACGTGTCATGGATCTAATTTCAGAAAAATCTTCACGAAGGAAGAGAAAACTGCAGGTGAAATGACAGGTGAGGAGTGGGGGTGTGTCGGGGAGCAGAGGGCTCCTGACTTCTGAGGTAGACTTGTCAATCCAGCTGCATGCCTCCTTCCAGAACTCTCCAAACTCACTCTGAGACCCATAGCTGCTGCACCAGTGAGGTGGCCTTGGAAGCTATCAGCCTATGGATATTACTGGTGAGGTCTGTTCTCCTGGCTGCTTTAGAAACCAGTGTGACATTTCAACCATTAGTGCCCAACAACACTGTTTAATTTGTTGGCAACACGGATCTAATCCAGGGTCTCAGACATGAAAACATGTTCTCCAGCTCATCTACTCATCTGAACTCCTGGTTCTGGATTATTTTTTGCTATGAATGATTTGATCTTATGCATAAATATTTCTAAAAAATGGTCTTTGATGCCACAAAATAAGTATTTTCCCGTGCAATTTAGTGGCTTGTTTTATATCATTTTAAAGTATTCGTTTGATCCAATTAAAGTCTTTCCACCATGTTTTATCAAAATAATGGTGAGATTTTACATAGTAAAACCCAGCCTTATCGCCAGAACAACAGGTGATATAGATATTCATGTTCCCTCAGCTAACTGTGTGTGATACAAGTGTCAGTGTGGATGCTACACGTGGCAAATCTCTGGAAACTTCCCGAGTTTCTGCTGCTGTTGGACACATATGGAGACTCTGTTGACCCCTGAGGGAAGCTGGAAATTGGGCCCACAGGCTTCACTAGAACCCAGACATGGAGACAGAACTCCAGGGTGTCCCTGTGTTGATTGTGTCCCCAAGGTCTTGCTGATGCCACTGATTTGCTACAGCAGGCAGGGCTGTGACACTGTACAAGCTGAGCCAAGGTCTCATCTCAGTACCCGGTCACAGGCACCTGCCCTTGAGCCCCCACATTCCTGTTCTCAGTTGGAGTCAGAGCACGAGTCTGGGGAACTCAGAGCCCGTGTTCAGAGAACAGCAACTCTATGGCCCAGGGGTTTCCTGCCCACAGGCTGGGACCAGTTTGGCAAAGGCTCTGAGTGGTTGGACTGTGCTTAGTGAAAGAGGAAAACGAAACTGAAATGCAGATCTGGGTGTCTGTCTTTTGAAAAGAGGTCAACATTTTCCACCAATGTCACCCCATATTTTATGTTCCCATTCTAGGGATTCAAATCCAAGGAAAATCAATATTGCTAGATAAATGGTGGTCTTTGTTCAACATTACTGGGATGAAAATCATCAGTAATATGGAATTTCCTAATATGACAATGATTTTCATAGATTTACATTCCGCCTGAGAATGTCAAGGCCTGGCTGTGCAGGAAAGCTCAGGCACTGTGATCCAGGGTATTTTCCACAAGGCCTCCGATATAAGACTCTAGGCTTACTAGAGGGTGTTGACATTTTCTTTTTCTATATGATCTCTTACATCTCTGAATTCCCTTCCTCCCCACTTTACCTTGAAATGAAGTTTATATTCTTTGCACATTCAAGGGTATCCCGGATAATACATCACATTTCCTGACACTAAAATTGTTTTATTTCCAATTAAAGATTTCAAAAAATATCCCTCAGTAAAGGAAGTAGATCTCATTCTCCCACATGCCAACATGCACACACAAACCACAGGAATGTGAGGGTTTGTCCCCTGGTGAGACGCAATCTCTCCCTGTATCCCACATCAGACAAGACATCATGGTAGGTGAGGATGCACCCTGTGAGACGCCCTCAGTGTGAGGCTATGAAGCTACTCACGTGTTCTCACAACTGGGTTGGCAACACGTGTGATTGTTAATGACTATCTTTTAAAACATGGTTCCTAGACATTCTAGAGTGACCATGCCAGCATATATGAACTCTGAATGACGCTGTCACCTCCTTACTTCGGGAAAATAATCTCTATAAATTCAATCCGCAGATCTGCTGTCATGTCTATGCAGCTGTGATGAGATTAAGAATAATGGAGCCTAAAAATATTCCTTTGACATGTCCTAGAATTGTCCATCATTGCACTGCCTAGGTGCATCTGACACACCCTCAGTAGGGGGAGACACCAGGAAGAGAAGCTGGGGCAGCCCAGCCTCACACAGCTGATCTCTGGAGGTTTATGTTCTGGCCTGTATCATTGTGGGAGGGTTACTCCAACTTTGTTTACAGTAATAAGTGGCAGCATCCTCAGGCTTGATGTTGCTGATGGTGAGAGTGAAATCTGTCCCAGATTGACTGCCACTGAAGCGGGAATGGACATCTTGTCCTAATTTGGTTGCCTCATAGATGAGGAGTCTAGGAGCTTTCCCTGGTTTCTGCTGATACCAGGCTAACCAATAGTTAATGCTCTGACTGGCATTGCAAGGGATGGTGATATTCTCTCCCAGAGATTCAGACGTGGATGGAGTTTGGCTCTTCTGGATATCACAACTGGAACCTGAGATAAAAATATAAATGGATATCTATATCATTAACCATAATTTAGATAATTTCTCTGAAGAGTAGGGAATCCAGATTCATGTAAACCCGCATTTCCCTCCTTACCCTGGAGCCAGAGCAGCCGGAAGCTGAGTGGCTGCACAGGTGCCCTCATGTCCACTCTGGGTGTGACAGACACTGGACCCTGCAGGGTGACACAGACTATTATTGAGTGTCCAGGCATGAGCTCTGAGGACTTGCAAATGAGAGGGGACTGGGCAGGCTGTTCAGGCAGAGGGGTGGAAGGTGAGTGTGGTGATTATCCCAGCTGCAGGGAAGTCAGGGGTGTAGATCCCTCTGGAGAAGCAGAACTTTGCCCAAAGAGAACATGCTCTTCCACGGGCCCCAGAAGGGCCCAAGTGTGAGACAGAAGGGTGGATCCCTGGACTCCTGAGACTCAGGACACACCTTCTTGCTCTCTCTCTCTCTGCCCCAGGGACAGGCTCTGTCAGACCACAGCCACACAGACCCCCTTCGGAATTGTAGATTCCTTCAACTTCACATATTTTGATCAAATTGAGGGCATGCAAGCTTCCATTAAGTTTTGATGTCCTGATATTATTGGTTTTAGAGATGTCACCACTTTCAACTGGAAATGCATGTTAACAGCAGACAACCTGTGGGTCCTTGGTTAAGAAGCCTGTGTCCAAATACATTCCTTAGAAACAGTCTCACCACTTCCACTCAGCCTCAGATTATTGTGTTTGGTCTATACATTTAGAAAAGCTTTCTAACTTCACAGAACCACTGACATGCACTCTTTTCTCTTTACCATTCTTTTATGTTTTTCAGTCCCTCTTGCCTGAAAGATTCCCTTCTGAATTGACCAGATGAAAATGAGTCCAGAGGGGATAGATAAGATGAGTCCCACCACCGAATTCCCCTTTAATGAACTGTGCCACTTCACCACACATCCTATATCACACATCTCTTATTCATGAAAAATTATTCCTGGCGGTGCTCGGGGGACCATATGGGATGCTGGGAATCGAACCAGGGTTGGCCGCGTGCAAGGCAAATGCCCTACCCGCTGTGCTATTGCTCCAGCCCCTGTTTTTTGTTTTTGGACCTAGCAGTTCCTAGGGCTTGTTCCTGGCACTATACTCTGGAATCACCGCTGACAAGGTTCAGTTGTGGGTTACTTTATGGGATGCTAAGGATTGAAACTGAGTTTGCCACATGCAAGGCTAATACCCTACCATCTGTACTATCTTTCCACATACCTCTTCTAACTTTGGGTACTCTCAGCCAGCCCAGGTGCAGGGCATTGAGACTCAAGTAAGACTAGGGTATAACCCCACAGAGAAATGATTCGCAGGTCTTAGAGAAGGGCATCAAAGAGGGCATGAGTGTGTGCCCAATCTAGGATTTAGGCTCAGACATGGGCTTCTACCCCAATGAGCTAGTGAAGCTAGTAGAGTACTGGGTGAGATGAGTCAGTTTTGACTCTAGTGATGATTTTCCCACCGACACCCATTCCCATTCATTCACTGTTTCTGTTTTCAGTAGTATGCCCCTGGGATTGAAAACCAGCAAAATATTGAAAGCCCAATGGACCCTCCATATCATCGAATGCAGTCTTCATGATATCCGAGGACACTCCTCCATGAACTATTGACCCAGCTGGTAGCTTTCTATTTAGTGGAATCCAGAGTCCTGGGAAGGGTCAGAGATCCATGGAAGGTAGCAAAGAAGTTTCCACGGGAGCCCTACAGTAATCATAGAGTCTAGTGAAGATGGGTTTCCTCTTAGTGATCATCTGTTGACTGGGACCTCCCCTGGTGCTTCTGTCAGACAGGGGCAGCACAGGGAGCCTCATGTTCTGCAGGGCCCAGGACAGGATCCTCCAGAGACATTTGAGGTCTCACACCTGACTCAGGCAGGAGAGATCTCACCCTACACAAACACACACACACACACACACACACACACACACACACACACACCCCAATCCACAACTGCTTTTTAAGGCTGCCAAGGTTCTGTACTCACTGGACCACAAGAGGCCAAATGAACAAACTTAATCAACTCCTACTCTATAATTCCCATCAGCTCACTTACCAATGAACAATCCTGCACAAGGATTCATTGAGACAAGGGAGAATAGGGGTTGCTAGTGGCAGGATGGGAGAGAAAGAGATCTCCGTTACAAAGGAGATCAGAGGGGAGTGAAGGCAAGTGAACTGGGTGTGTGTACTCAGAAGAGCAGCTCAGATAAGATACACACCTTTGCCTGCACTATCTGCACCAGAGGAGTTAGCCTGAGGTGGTTATGAAGGCCAGGGGAAGGGTTCGGGGAGAAGGAGGATGAGACTCCAGGTTGTTCACACAGTCCTGTTGTCACAAGAGGCCTTAAGACTGCTCATTCCACCACAGGAGCAGCAGATGGGGGTTAGCACACACAGGTTGTCTGAGCTCCTGTGGCAGCTTCCTCTGATGATGAGGAGTTGTCAGAACAGCTGTCACCATCCTGCAGAGCCTCGCAGGGAATGGGCTAAGCAGAAGCTTCAGAACTAGATTCAGTCTCTGATGCTCTGAACCCTCATATTGGCCCTGCAGGGACACTGACCTTCTCCTGGAACAGCCAGGGGGACTGGAGGTGGGTGGCATTGTGTTCCCTATGGCATCTGAGTGGAGCCGCATAAGGACACCCAAAACATAACTATCAAGGTAATGGTTCGTTCAGTTTGATGGATTTCTGGTTGAAAATAAACAGCCAGCAGTTTCATCAAAAAGTTAATGCCTGACAAGGTGAAAATGATTTCTGAGTTCTCCAAAGCAATCAGAAGAGAAGAAAGAAAAGGAGGAATGTTCTGGGTGTGCCAGAGGCAGCCCCTGCTTAGAGGGTGCCAAGTGTGTACCATCAACACAGGGTTCCTCACAGGAGCACACATGCTGGGGTCGCACACCACACACATGTGGATTCTCACACTCTAGGAGGTTGGGTAGGAAGGTCAAGGTCCCTCAGGGTCACTTCCTGTGAGACCCTCTTCCTGTCAGCAGGAGCTCCTCTCTCCCCTTGTCCTCACGAGACTTTCTCTGTATCTGTGGGGACTGGGCGCGGGGTGGGATTGTGTTCCCTGATGTCCCATCCTCCCATCTAATCCCTCTCCTCTGAGCTCATTTTACCTTAAGTGACTCTACTGCTCTACCTATGAAACATCACAGAGGAACTTAAATCAAATTATGAGCACTGCATGGGGGATCAAAAGTCCATAGCAGAGAGGCAGGACAGGACTTCTATCCCCACCGCAGGAAAGGGAGTCAAATCTGACTCTAACAACTTTCATACTTTCCCACCACAGCCTTGTCCCTGCTGACAATGAACCTTTTACTGTCTCAGGGTTTCTAGGATTCAGGGTCTCTCCTGTATTGTATGGGGTTTGTCTGCCATCTAGTGGTCCTTATTTGATACAGCAACTTTTCAGCTGATGATGATCTCTGTGCAGCTGCAATTTTGAGACTTTTCCCAAGTCTTTGGAACAGACACTGTAATATCCATCACCAAGCTGAAGTATTCGAAGATGTAACTTGCTAACCCTATCAGGGTACAAATATAATTATTACTTTTTGGATCATGATTGCATTTGTCCGTGACCAAGCTCTTAACATATAGTTAAGCATTATGGCACCTTGGCCAGGTCCATCTTGATGCCAGGGTAGCACATAGTTTACCTCTTGCCCTGGTTTCATCCAGTCCCTTCTCAGGACACTGCTTTTGGGGGCCCTAGGAAGTAAGGGCAGCTGAGGCTTAGGTGAGAGAACAGATGCCCTGGAGGAAAATATCACTCAGAATCACATTGCAAAAGCATAGCATATAATGTCTTCTGTATTCATACAAAAAGGACATTGCTCTGAATAAACTATGCAAAGGATTTAGGGAGAAGAGTAAAACAATATTTACAAGTCAACAGAGCACAAAGAAAGAAGTTACAAATAAACACAGAGGAATGGGAGCACTGATGGGAGCAACCCAATAAACCTAACCTACCTAAGACTATAAAGGAAGGACGAAACAGTATTATCCTACACTTTTCCAATGTGTGACAGACTATACGAATTATAGTGGAGAGACTTGAAATACAGCTAGTGCAACTCAGTAGTTTTACATTTAAGTTTAGCATAATTTAAAACTATGAAGCCATGTATTAACAGCAGCAATTTCTTATGCTATACACTATACAGTCTGTTTAGACTTTTTCCCAGATAACCATGTGTTTTCAGGAAGCAATAAGCAAGACCAGGACGAGGAGGCTGCCAACTATTAATCACAGGGTCTGCCCCATGCTCATGTCACCCATCTGGTGCATGGAGGCATTCTCCCTCGGCTTTTATTTAACAACTGCCTTTCCTAATAAATTTTGACATTTGACTAAGAGTCTGTTGCCTGTGTGGGTGACTCTGTGTTGGCCATGCTGCATGTGTGAGTCTTTGAGCACCCGCTGCCCTAGACCACGATCATCACCTCATTCCTCAGGTACCTATAGTTACAAGATAATGACAAGAGACCAAATCGAACAATCACAAGATGCGAGTTTTAAACTGCCATGATAAGTATTTCTTCCAATGCATGGACAAAGTTCTGCTATCTGGAGGGTATGAAAAGAATCTTTGGGCTTTCTTGGGATCTGCAATGTTTTCACTGCATTACAGAAATGAAGGAAAACCACAATGAGGCAAATGTAAACATTGTCTCATGCTCTATTCTTTGCAGTAAGGTTGCTGCCTGTGCCAAAGGGCCAGGCGAGTTGCCTTTGCTGTTGGGGATGAATGACTTTTTTCCTAGACATTTACCGACATTAATTGGATGTCTCTCTGGAAGGGAGGTAGGCTGTTGATTTCTATATAACTAGATATGAAAATAATAGTTCATATAATGTGTGGGTTTATATTTTACACATTGGTGTGAATGTGATAAACCAGCATGTTTTCTTCCCTATGGCCCATCCAACACCCAGACCAGCATCATGAAGGGCAGGTCCCCGCACAGGGGCCTCTGTGAGCCAGCGGGGAGCTGGACAGCTCTAGGCTCAGAGTGACATGGGAGTTCTGGAACCCTGGAACTCAGCAGGTATTGAGCAGGATCTAGAGGACCTGGGTTTCTCTAGAGCTGAG